ATCTGGGCCTGACAATTTTAAATCCCATATTTTCAACCTTTCTTCTTTCCATTCAAGCATTTCTTTCTTAAACTCTATGTTGACCATCCCACAACATTTTCTCAAAATTTTTTCTGGCTCTCGAACTAAATCACCAGCGTCTACTAATACTACCTTTTCTCTAATTACGTTCTTAATTAAGTCATAAAGAATCCTTAAATCTTTGAGCCAAACTTTTTTAGGAAAAAAAAATGTCATATCTTTCAGAATTAGGTACGTAGGATTCATCCCAAGCTTTACATGTAGAATTTGCAGCTTTGTAAAATGACTTTACGGATTTTTCTGGATTTCTAATTATAAACGTATGTTTAAATTTTGAAAGAATTTCCTTTGATCCTAATGGGTTTCCTTCTAAGTTTCCTTCAAATGCTTCTAAAAAGTTGGATGCATGATCTTTAACAAAAACTCTTAAGGTATGTGATTTATCATCATTATAGTAATAAGGAGAAAGAATTTCATTAAGAGCAGGCGAGAAATGATGTACAAAAGTGATGGGATCAGTAGGTTTAGGCAATGCAATTTGATTCAAAAATTCAAAGTTTTTGGTCATATAAGCACGACCAATTTGATTGAGTGGTTCATGGATAACATGGAATTCTTGAGGACATTGAAGAAACGGTCGTTCAAAAACCGTAGAAAGAGACCTCGGATGGGACCAAAGAATAATAGGTCTTTGATCCGCCATTTTTAAATGTGATATAGTTTTTTTTTTTTTAATTCTTTATTTAAATCCTCTTAAAGAACTTTAATAATATCGATCTTGGTCTTGTTGATTTAATTACTTATATAAATCTTTTTTCTTCAATATTTTTACTTTGAGCTTTTTTCATTTTTTGAAATAATGCAACCATAGTTATCGTTTTTTTTATTATCATTACATTAAAATTAATAAAACTTGATGTATATGTTATGTAATAATCAAATAGTAATTCGGGTATTTAATTTGGGCTCAATTTCAAAAATGCTTCCGAATAAAATAATTGAATCGAATTTTATTTTTAGCTTAAATAAATGCAAAAATCATTGCTCGATCGAATTTTTATACAAAGGAAAACATATGGGAATTAAGATCGCCACAACATAATACTTCGAAGAGGATCATTACAATATGCTTGCTTCTTTTTTGTCTGCTCATGTACAAACAAATTATTGCTTGTGACCATCATCTTAACAGGCCACATATGCTAAATGATTTTAAGAACATCTGATGGGTTGGGTGGGGTGGGATGAAAAAACCCAGACAAATTTTGAACCAGCTAAAATGTTATTGTGTCTGGGAAAAAACCCATCCCTAAATTAAGACCTTAATCAGTGATCATTGCACGGGGTTGGGTCAAAATCCCGACAAGCGAAATCCCGACAGGTCATAATCCCGACAAAAAAATCCCGACAGCAAAAATCCTGA